TTGGTGGGAAACGTGAGCACTAGAGAACCTACTTTAGTTATGAAAAACACTGGAAAGAATGGATACGTATATAGCAGGAAATGTGTAAGCAAGACACATAACGCTGACAGAGGTCTGTGTTCTTTTATGTGTCCATCTCTGTCTTGAGGAACAGAGCCTCACAAAAACTAAACAGAAGACAGGAACATAGCCTGAACTTCACAAAACAAATCCGGGAACAAGTTTTACATTCACTCAGCCAGTTATATTTTAACTGGCTTATAGTTTCAAAGAATTCATTTACAGGGGGTTTGGTTTTACGAGTACACGTTACTGTTTCTTCTCAAGCAACTTTGTCCCTTTAGTTATCCTCCTCTGAAGACGTTAGCTTGGTAAGTCCTATTCTTATTCTTCAGGGCTCTAATGGAGAAGACCTGCATGATTTGTGTTTTAAGCCAAGAAAAAGAGAGCACATTTTGAGCTGTAGCCTAGTCACACTATAATCTATAATTAAAGAGAATTTAAAGTAGTGTAGCCATAAATGGAGTATGTCTTCTACAGCCAAGTACACATACTCTCTGTACTCAGCTTTTGTATGCGTGGGTGCAACAAATCAGATTAGATGAAGCTGCCTGATCTAGCTGCTTTGTCCATGTGATGTATGGGTTGTAACTTAACTAAACTGCATAAGACGACAGCTGCACCCCCCCGGTGTACATTCTGAAAAATGTTATTTTTCAGAATGTACAGGACTACACTGGCTGGGATTGCTGTTTAATTAATTTTCCTTCGACACTGCATAGGAGGGCAACAAGACTAATGACAAAAATCAATTTGGATGTTTGCTTCCTCTGCTCAAAGCACATGCTTGATTTGGGTTTGGTTTTCCTCCCACTGTGCTGCGACCACATTTAAAAGGCTTGTTTCCCTCCTTGCGGCTGAGCTGTACTGTCTGTTTAGCTGGGAGTTTGCCGTGAAGATAATCGCTGTAGGCTGTTTCTTAACAAAGGTGTTCATGCGTGCATGTGTATGTGTGTGGGAGGGTGGGTAAGGGTCTTTCAGCACTCGTTAAATCCTAACATGGATTTTGGTGCTCTACTCCTGTCAGTGACTATCATTTCAGATGACAATGAACACAGAAACATCACAGATGCTGGTGTCTCTCCTCTCTCCGTGTTCAGACAGAGAGAGACATTAAAGCAGACACCAAAAAGAAAAATCCCCCACATGTCTCAACATTCCCTTTACATCTCTCTGTGAATGCTCTCTGTGTAATGCCAGAGCTGGAGCATGGCACAGAACAATTCTGGATGAGTCTTTATACATACAGTATGTGGATGACAAGGATGCATTTTGAGTGCCGCTAGCTTCTCCCACTATATTTCATCCTGCCGATATCCCACAGCCAGTCATTTATTCCTTCACACCGCCTCCCTCCCCACCCTAAATATATTTATTATCCTGCTGTGGGTTACAGATGAGCTCTTTTGGCTGGTTTTCCATTACAAGGCAGAGTGCGGGAGACCAGTCGGAGAGAGGAAGAAAGAGAGAGAAATCAGAGTAAGCAATTCTGTTTGCCAGCCAGTCACAGTGCAAGACAAACGGTGGCAAATTTGAGCACAGCTCGAACCAATACACATCTTTCTTAATCAAACGGGCCTGATAAATTCGATGGCCACACATACCCCATATGGTCCATGGGCTTCAGCTGCACCCATACCCCAAATGCTCACCCAAGAGTGATGACTGTGTTCGAGAACTCTTGTAACTCAACAGTTAATAAAAGCCTCTAACTTGTTTCCAACAGGTGCCACTGCTCAACAGACGTCTGTATATACAATGCAAGATTGATATGAATGCAATATAAACATACACTTGGAGCATTCTGAGGCAGGGTATGCGACAAAACCAAAATACAGTAATGATGAAAGCATGTTGCAACATTACTTATAATGCTGCATATTAGACTCATTACACCAACACATGCAGTTTATATGGAAGTACTATAATGTACAGCAGCTGAAGAAAAAATCCTCTTTTATTGCTTAATAATATATTAGCTTTCCCTGGTAAAGTGGCACAAGATAAAGTCTCTGAATGTGCAGATGTCTTTAGTTTGTGTGCAAGCCAACTTTGTTTGCAAGTTTCCACAGGTTTGTGAGTACGTCTAAGACCTGCAGCTGCTCTTGGCCGACCTGAGTAGCGAATTTCCAAAGCCCACTGGCTTCCAAATGCATTTGACATGCAATCCCTCAAACCTATCACACATGACAACATCTCTTACCAGGTAAGGATCTGTTTACTAGTGTGTGGGTCACAGTCAAGTATAGACAGATCTGAAACTGACTGGTCTCAATACATCAGCCTGCAGTGAGTTGGATAGACCAAGGAGAGGTGGAGAGGAGGGCAGAGGGGAGAAGGGAAAGCTCTACTGAGAAAGCAGAGCACCCCGGTCAGAGTAGGAAAATATTTGTGACTTCACAGACCGTCGAATGAGGAACCCTTAGCTCCCTGGGAAAAGATCCTCTCCTCAAAAAGATCCACTTTCTATACCAGACAAGAAGAAATCAAGGCTCATACAAGACATTCTGCCTAAATGTCATATGATATCGGAGGAGTGCAAATGAATCGGAGCTAAAGTCGCAGCAAAAACCTGCAGGCTGAAAAATCTGTTTACCATCACTTCACTGGAGTACAATTTCACATGTTACTGAGACAAACAACATCACAATATGTAGGCGTTCTACAGCGTGTGGCCAAATATTAAAATGCTGTCATACTATGGTATGTAAAAACAAACCTGGACATCTTATACATCACAGAGGAAAATGAATTACAACCCTGAAACAGTCCAGTTATGTTTACATTTTATGGTTTTGTTTTTTTTAACTCATCAGTCATATAATGGCCCAACAATCATTTTTAAGGTGGCCATCAACTAATTATTTTAATCATCAGTTAAGTTGTCAATTATGTACTCAATCGTTTACAAGTAAAATGTGAATCTAAAGATTTTATGTTTACTGTCACAAGGCAAAAAGCAGCAAATCCTCACAATTCAGAGGCTGGCACTAGAGACCATTTGGTATTTTTGCCTTAAATGACTATCAAAATATTTGTTTAATTAATTGATTAAATGACAAGTTCTTTCTGTGCCATGTTGCTATTAAATAATCCAAATATAAAGAATTCCTGTTGTGTTAGTGTCACCATTTCCTGCCTTTGTGCACAAGGTAAAAGCACATGTCGAGCTTCCATCCTGTAACTGGGGTGTGCAGGATTGGGCCACTTTACAGGAGCACAAGGAGCTTCTGCTGCAAAAATACAGCAGAGTCAAAACGCTGAGAACGTC